GTTTAAGGACCTACCAGATTGCAACAAACAGTGAACAATGAGAGGGAGATAAATGGGGCAGTATGCTTTAGGGGACGCAGTAAACAGTTGGGAGTTGGGGCCAATTTCATCGTAAATTATTTCCTTGGTGTTTAATACAGTCTCTGAACAAATGTAATGTATAAATGGTTTGGATTACTGGATGCCAAGGTCATATTTTTCCATATTCTGTACAAGTTAAACGGTTGTTCATATTCAATTAGATCTGTTGACCATACTTATTTAATGGCTAGCTCAGAATATGAGCTTTCCAAAAGTTGTCTATATATAATAGAGATCAGTCCTTTCGGGAGCCCAGATCATTTATTTATAAATCCCATCATTGGATGGTTCAGTAGTTGGGTTTCCCGAGGGACTCCATAGGCCAGCGTAGCTGACCTAAATTGTAAATATAGAAAATAGGATTTGCCTGGTAATGTGAGGCAGTAGACCTGATTTGATTAGATACATTTTATAATTTGAGATTAAGCTGAATTTATCTATGATCTTCGATGCGTTTGTGAGCGATTTGAGATACATTGTCTAGATTCAGTAAAATATTGTCTGCGTATAATGAGATGAAGTGATCAGTAGATTTTAGGGAAATTGGTGTTACTTCCTTTGACAAATTAAGTTCTGTCTTGACTTTGGAAAGAGTAATAGCTACCTGGTCGGAAAAGAGTGCTTGTTGAGAACGCTCTAATGTAGTTGACAACATTTCAATTAATTTTTTAATTGTGATTTATTCAACCCAGATGCAAATGAAGCTGCATTATTTTTATAAACCCTTTGGTGGTAGCCCATTAGAATCCAGCGGTCATCGACTTAATTTTTATTGATCATTATGAATTCATTTAGTTCAATTTCAAATTGATCACAGAATGTAGGATTTTGTAGTAATGAAACGTTGAAACACCATCTTGTGGTTCTTTTAGTAGATTCTAAGATTTAAAGTTGTCAGTAGTAAGTGTGGTGGTCAGACAAGCGCATGTCAATTTTCTATTTTCTTAATTAAAGAAAATAGAGGTGTAGATAATAGCATAAAATCAATTTGTGAGCATGTTTTATGCATGTTTGATTAGAAAGTGTACTCTTGCTTTAGGATTATGTGCTCACCAGGCATCAATGAGGTTGTAATCAGAGATTATATGATGGAGAGCCTTGCTTGCAAGTGGTTTGTAATTGGTTTTATTAGATTTGTCTCGCATGTCCAAAATGGCATTAATGTCTGTCCCAATAACCAGATGGAATTCAGTTAATTCTAACAATATGCTGTTCAGAGAATCAAAAAACGTAGGATCGTATGAATTTGGAGCATACAGATTAATAAAGGCAATTTTCTTGCCATTATGGATACATTTAAGGAAAGTGATTCTGCCTTCTTGGTCTTTGCCTTGACCCAAGATGGTGATTTTGAGTTTATGCATCATTTTGCTTTTGGGGGGGCTGATGAAAAAGCAGCCAGTTTGTACAAATGGCTCTCTATTCTATGTGTGTCCTTTTGGGACGGATGTGTTTCTTGGAACATTGCTATATCAATATGGGAGGAAGTTGGGTTGCCCGCTAACTCACCAGTTTCAAGTCCTGTGACCCACACTTTGAATTTATGGGAATGACTTTCACGTGATTGTTTTCTTTTCTTTGGATATTTATTTCCCCTTCTAGCTTAGATCGGGCTGTTTCCAAATCTGACTTTTTTGATATAATGTTAGAAAGACCCCACTGAACGATTCAGAACATGAATAATCATAATTGTCTTGGTAAAATGTGTTTTATAAATTTCATCACCAAAGTGTGTTTTCACCCACACTGGGCAGAGTGGATGTGGGCACCCTACAGAGGGGCAGTCCGTTCTGCATGCCTTCTTGACTTCAATACAATGTGTCGTCATGCATTTGTGCATGCACACTGAGCTCATAGCTATCTTGCTAGCTAACTTAGCTCATCAGCTACCTAGCTAGCTAATGTCGATCCACCATATTGCCACTTCTATTTGCCATATCTTCAATCTAAGCCTACAAAAAAGTGTGCTCTCAGGCCTGGAGGGAAGCAAAACTCATTCCGCCACCCTAGAATAGTAAAGCCCCCTTTACTGGCTCAAATAGCCGACCAATCAGCCTGTTACAAATCCTTAGTAAACTTGAAGAAGAAAAAAAAAGGTGTTTGACCAGATACAATGCTGTTTTACAGTAAACAAATTGACAACATACTTTCAGCATGCTTATAGGGAAGACATTCAACATGACTGATGATTGGCCTGGAGAAATTGATACAAAGATTGTGGCGGTTGTTTTGTTAGACTTCAGTGCGGGTTTTGACATTATCGATCATAACCTGCTGCTGTGTAAACCCCCTGCTATATTGTGTATAAAGAGTTACCTGTCTAACAGAACACAGACGGTGTTCTTTTAATGGAAGCCTCTCCAACATAATCCAGGTAGAATCAGGAATTCCCCAGGGCAGCTGTCTAAACCCCTTTTTTTTCAATCTTTACTAATGACATGCCACCTGCTTTGAGTAAAGCCAGTGTGTCTGTATGCGGATGACTCAACAATTTACACGTCGGCTACAGCAGCGAGTGAAATTACAGAAACACTTAACAAAGAGCTGCAGTCAGTTTCAGAATGGGTGGCAAGAAATAAGTTGGTCCTAAATATTTCAAAAACGAAAAGCATTGGATTTGGGACAAGTCATTCACTAAAGTTGTCGCACCTGGACTACTGTCCAGTCGTGTGGCCAGGTGCCACAAAGAGGGGAAAATTACAATTGTCTCAGAACAGGGCAGCACGGCTGGCCCTTAAATGTTCATGTCAATCTCTCATGGGTCAAAGCAGAGGAGAGATTGACTTCATCACTACTTGTTTTTGTAAGAAGTTTTGACATGCTGAATGCACCAAGCTGTCTGTTTTTAAACTACTAGCACACAGCTCGGACACCCATGCACCAGATGCCACCAGATGTCTCTTCACAATCCCAAAGTCCAGAGCAGACTATGGCTCAGTGCTACATAGAGCCATGACTACATGGAACTCTATGCCACATCAGGTAACCGATGCAAACCGTAGAATCAGATTTTAAAAACAGATAAAAATACACCTTATGGAGTAGCGGGGACTGTGGAGAGACACAGACACACGCATACACATGATAACACACGCAATCTACACACACGTACACATGGATTTTGTATTGCAGATATGTGGTAGTAGAATAGTGGCCTGAGGGCACACACTTAATGTGTTGTGAAAAGTGTTATGAAACGTAATGTCATGTAATATATTTTAATTCTATATAGCTGCCTTAATGTTGCTGGACCCCAGGAAGAGTAGCTGCTGCCTTGGCAGCAGCTAATGGAGAGCCTTAATAAATACAAAAAAATACTATAGTCGTGAGTCCGCAAAATCAAGTAAATAGTACTGAACTCATGACAAAATCATGTTTTGACATTGTAGTGGCTATTGATGTTTTGTTTGCTTTTTTTTTTTTTGCTTAGTGACTTGTGAAAATCATCTTTTGCAATTTATGTAACTATTCTGTTTTCGGCATGAGAAAAAGTTACGTGCAATCCGGAATCCTTGGGACTTCCCTTCCCTAACCTAACCTTAACCCTTACCCATTTTAAATTTAAACTTCAATGGGGCAGGGATGTCCCAAGGATCCCGGATAGCACAGACCATGAGAAAAGTCCAGCAAGAATTTGCGCATTCAGAAATAAAGTTCAGGTCACGTATTAGGAGCCACTCCCTTAAAAAAAAAAAAAACATGCATTCTGTTATTAACATCTGACTCCAGAATGATCTGTTAATGCAGTCATGTTTCTTAACTTTATATATGACATTTCAGATGCATAGTGTCAACTGTAAAGTTTGGTGGGGAAGGTATAATGTTCTGGGGCTGTTTTTCATGGTTTGGGCTAGGCCTCTTAGTTCCAGTGAAGATACATCTTAACACTACATCATACAATGACATTCTAGACGATTCTGTGCTTCCAACTTTTTGGCAACAGTTTAGAGAAGGCCCTTTCCTGTTTCAGCATGACAATGCCCCTGTGCACAAGGCGAGGTCCATATAGAAATGGTTTGTCGAGATCGGTGTGGAAGAACTTGACTGGCCTGCACAGAGCCCTGACCTCAACCCCATCAAACACCTTTGGGATTAATTGGAACTCCGACTGCGAGCCAGGCCTAATTGCTCAACGTTGGTGCCCGACCTCACAAATGCTTTTTTGGCTGAATGCAAGCAAGTCCCCACAGCAATGTTCCAACATCTAGTGGAAAGCCTTCCCAGAAGAGCGGAGGCTGTTATAGCAGCAAAGGGGGGACCAACTCCATATTAATGCCCATGATTTTTGGAATGAGATGTTTGACGAGCAGGTGTCCACATACTGTTGGTCATGTAGTGTATGTTTTCAAAGTAACTTTAAACACACCTTTATTTCTCTTAAGGGTAGCTTTACTGTAGGTCAACTTCTTTAAGTGACATTGACGATATTGGTAGCAGCTTGGTAAACCTATATTTTACATTTGAGTCATTTAGCAGAGCGATTTACAGGAGCAATTAGGGTTAAGTGCCTTGCTCAAGGGCACATCGACAGATTTTTCACCTAGTCTGCTCGGGGATTAGAACCAGCGACCTTTCAGTTACTGGCACAACGCTCTTAACCACTAAGCTACCTGCCACCCATTTTCAGATTAGCTTTCACAATACTGCGGCTAATAAGCTGTGATTTATTTATTAGCCGATTTGAATAGGCTAACGTGTAGCAAACTACCAAGCCAGCTAGGCTGGTATGGGCTAGCCTTGCACCCTCTCTTGCCCTTACACATTACATTTACCATCCCAATTCAGATATTATGCCAATGCATAACTATTGATTTTCCTACTAGCTAGTTAGCTAACTGTTTCCAAGTGATTTCATTGTTTCTCTCCTATCTGCAGGCATTATCTACGATGTCATTGTGGAACCACCTAGTGTGGGTTCAATGACCGATGAACATGGGCACCAGCGGCCAGTCGCCTTTTTGGCATACAGGTAAGTACGCAGCCCCTTTCCTTGCCCATTCATGTACGGTAGACTAATGCTAGCGCCTTACCGTCCGTTCACGAACCTATCTGCCTTGCGGGGGGAATATGTTAAGAGGCCTGGCGCTGTGTCTGAATGTTAATACGCCTTGCTTGCGTTACGGTTTTGGAAACATTTGGAACTTTACTTACATATCAGCGCAATTTGTTTTATTCTCAAATACTAAAGAAACGCTTACTGTACACAGTTTTAGCACAGATGCACATGGCTGTGTTTTGAATAACACATGCTTCCGGCTGACGTACAACACTTCTTACCCAGTTGCGCTCCAGTGGAAATTGCCCTGTGCAACTGTGTTGAAATGACATACAGAAAGTGTATTGGTTATATTTGAAAAATATTTTCTTGCTTATATGAAAGTTCACTTCCAAAGGTTTCCAAAACCGCATTGCAAGCAAGGATTATTAAAGTTTCTAAATGTTAAAACAGAGCGTTGGGACTGTAGTACACATTGGGCCAGCTGTGGTCCATACGTTTGACTGAGAACCCTTCGACTGTATGCCCCCTTGGGATCTCGAGAGCTACAACTTTCCAAGTGTATGCTTTTTCTGCATTGTCAACGCGTGGGGTTATTATTTACTCCATTCTTTATCATAATGATCTGCATTGTATTGCACAAATTTGAGAGGGGTAGTCAAATAACCACCTTATTTTTTCTCTTTCCTATGAAGAGTGAATGGCCAATACATCATGGAAGGGTTGGCCTCCAGTTTCCTCTTCACCATGGGAGGCTTGGGCTTCATAATCCTGGATCGCTCAAATGCCCCAAACATCCCTAAACTCAACCGCTTCCTCCTGTTGTTCATTGGTTTTGTTAGTGTCCTGCTCAGCTTCTTCATGGCCAGAGTGTTCATGAGAATGAAACTGCCGTAAGTCTACTCTTGTGAAGATTTCCAATGGTGCCTTCAACCCAAAACACATTAAACTCATGTCTGTGGGGTGGGGAGAAATTTGCTACTTTTATGATGGACAGCACAACACAACCCTAGGCCCTTTCCCACCGTACTGCTCCCATTTAATACCATTAAGTTGCTGTGTTTTTTACACATTTATTTGTCTGGTTTAAAGGGGACCTAATCGTCAACACAAGTAACACTCTTAATAGTAACAGATAACGTTCATATCCTTTTTTAAATTTGTTATTATTATTGAATATTCAAAACATACAATCTACTTGCAGTGAAGCCGCTCAACATTTTACAGTAAACTCTAACAGACTCCCACCCAGAGCGACCCACAGAATCAACCAGGGTCAACGCACTGCTCTAGGGCACGTCGGCAGATCTCCCACAAGGTCAAAAACGTGAACCCGAACCAGCGACCTATCAGCCACCGAAACTGATGGCCCAGAATATTTGATACAATGTTGCAAGTTCGCTAGCACAACCTTCGGGCCGGACCCAGTTGATAGTTGATATGTTTCAAGTTTGTTGCAGACAGGCCATGTGATTTATAGGATATGTATTTTTATCAGGACATTGTCTACCTACAGGCTGCAATGTTTGCATTTGTTGGCTTTATGTAGGCTATTTTTACATAGTTGGCAATGGCAATAGAAGTTACTTTTTTAGGTTTATATCATTTTCATTTAGATTTGGATAGAATTTTGATTAACCACATGACAATGATTTTGAGATATGAAGACCTTATTATAAATTAAATTGAACTGTTTCACGAAAATGTGCATATGGAAACCATAACTGGTGTGCAGATCGGTGGAAATGGTAAGATAAATTGGCGTTCCACATGAGAAAGGTTGTCAGCTCCTCGTGTAGCCTATTACCGGCAACTTCAGGAGAGTAATGGCAGAATCTGCGAAAGCCAGCAGGAGCGGGAGGAGAATAGTTGGATCAGGTTAAGGTTTTTTCTTCTGGTTATATTGAGGCATTTGTCTTATTTCATCAAACCATAAGCTTAAAGCATCAGACAAGCTCAATGCATATATAGTAGAGTTTATTAAAACACAGGGTGTGTCTATACAGTGCATTCAGAAAGTATTCAAACCCCTTGACTTTTTCCACATTTTCTTACATTAGAGCCTTATTCTGAAATGGATTCAATTGTTTTTTCCCCTCATCAATTTACAAACAATACCCCATAATGACAAAGCAAAAACAGGTTTTTAGAATTTTTTGTGAATGTATTGGACAACTGATGACATTTGCATAAGTATTCAGACCCTTTACTTAGTACTTTGTTGAAGCACCTTTGGCAGCGATTACAGCCTAGAATATTCTAGAGTATGACGCTACAAGCTTGGCACACCTGTATTTGGTGAGTTTCTCCCATTCTTCTCTGAAGATCCTCTCAAGCTCTATCAGGTTGAATGGGGAGCGTCGCTGCACAGCTACTTTCAGATCTCTCCAGAGATGTTCGATTGGGTTCAAGTCCGGGCTCTGGCTGGGCCAGTCAAGGAAATTCAGAGACTTGTCCCGAAGCCACTCCTGCGATGTCTTGGCTGTGTGCTTAGGGCTGCTGAAAGGTGAACCTTCACCCCAGTCTGAGGTCCTAAGCGCTCTGGAGCAGGTTTTCATCAAGTACTCTGTACTTTGCTCCGTTCATCTTTCCCTCGATCCTAACTAGTTTCCCAGTCCCTGCCGCTGAAAAACATCCCCACAGCATGATGCTGCCACCTCCATGCTTCACCGTAGGGATGGTGCCAGGTTTCCTCCAGAGGTGATGCTTGGCATTCAGGCCAAAGAGTTAAATCTTGGTTTCATCAGACTTGTTTCTCATGGTCTGAGAGTCCTTTAGGTCAGGCAGCCAACTCTAGGAAGAGTCTTGGTGGTTCCAAACTTCTTCCATTTAAGTATGATGGAGGCCACTGTGTTCTTGGGGACCTTCAATGCTGGAGACATTTTTTGGTACCCTTCCCCAGATCTGTGCCTCGACACAATCCTGTCTCTGAGCTCTACAGACACTTCCTTCGACCTCATGGCTTGATTTTTGCTCTGACATGCACTGTCAACCGTGATTATTGCAGCATAATGGATGTAACTTTTGTTGACAATTTCGATACCTTTTGGAAATAAAACATTTTATAAGGAGTATGGGATCCACCCAAATCATTTGGGTTCCTGGATCCTTTCACAGCATTATAAGGCTACGTTGAGACAATGACTTGTCAATGACCCAAGCCCAGCTCAGCTAATCCCTACCATTGTGACGCAGAGTTGTCAAAATGCTTCAGCAAATGTACATTACACCAGGGGCTTCGGTAGACACAATATAAGTAACCTAATTTATGTCCCTCTAACTGCCCTGAATGCCTCTGCTGATCCTACAGCTATTGTATGCAGTAATCATGTGCCTAAGAACCAGGTTTATACTGTTAGCACTGAACCGGTGTACCCGAGGAGGATGGCCACTGTATGCAGCTCACCCTGCACTAACATAAAAAACATGACCACATCTACTGCTGCTAAGCTTCCCAGTAAAGCAATAAAAACAAGTAAGCATCCCAGAAGAAAAGTGCTCAAAATAGCCCACGTTAACAATATGTAGCTTAAGAAACAAGGTTAATGAAATCAATGATTTGCTAGTAACAGATTACATTAATATTCTGACTGTCTCTGAAACTCACTTAGATAATACCTTTGATACAGTGGTAGCAATACAAGGTTATAACATTTACAGAAAATATAGAAATGCCAATGGTGGAGGTGTTGCTGTTTATATACAGAACCACATTCCTGTGAAGATTAAAGATGATCTCATGTTAAATACTGTTGAAATAATATGGCTACAGGTTCATCTGCCTCACCTAAAGCCAATTTTGGTGGGAAGCTGCTATAGACCACCAAGTGCTAACACTCAGTATCTGGATAACATGTGTGAAATGTTTGATAATGTATGTGATATCAATAGAGAGGTATACTTTCTGGGTGATTTTTAAATATTGACTGGCTGTCATCAGGCTGCCCACTCAAGAGAGCGCTTCAAACTGTAACCAGTTCCAGCAACCTGGTTCAGGTTATCAGTCAACCTACCAGGGTAGTTACAAACAGTACAGGAATTAAATCATCAACATGTATTGATCATATCTTTACTAATGCTGCAGATATTTGTTTCAAAGCAGTATCCAAATCAATTGGATGTAGTGATCACAATATAGTAGCCATATCTAGGAAAACCAAAGTTCAAAAGGCTGGGCCTAATATTGTGTATAAGAGGTCATACAATAAGTTTTGTAGTGATTCCTATGTTGTTGATGTAAAGAATATATATTGGTCCGTGGTGTGTAATGAGGAGCAAACAGACACTGCACTTGACACATTTATGAAATTGCTTATTCCAGTTACTAATAAGCATGCACCCATTAAGAAAATGACTGTAAAAACTTTTAAATCCCCGTGGATTGATGAGGAATTGAAAAATTGTATGGTTGAGAGGGATGAGGCAAAAGGAATGGCAAATAAGTCTGGCTGCACAACCGATTGGCAAACGTACTGCAAATTGAGAAATCATGTGACTAAACTGAATAAAAAGAAGAAACTACACTATGAAACTAAGATAAATGACAAAGAATCATAGTTAAAATCTTTGGAGCACCTTAAATGAAATTTAGGGAAAAAAGGCAAACTCGGCTCCATCATTCATTGAATCAGATGGCTCATTCATCACAAAACCAACTGATATTGCCAACTACTTTAATGATTTTTTCATTGCAAGATTAGCACACTTAGGCATGACATGCCAGCAGCAATTGCTGACACTACACATCCAAGTATATCTGACCAAATTATGAAAGACAAGCATTGTAATTTTGAATTCCGTAAAGTGAGTGTGGAAGAGGTGAACAAATGGTTGTCTATCAACAATGACAAGCCACCAGGGTCTGACAACTTGGATGGAAAATTACTGAGGATAATAGTGGACGATATTGCCACTCCTATTTGCCATATTTTCAATTTAAGCCTACTAGAATGTGTATGCCCCCAGGCTTGGAGGGAAGCAAAAGTCATTCCGGTACCTAAAAATAGTAAAGCCCCCTTTACTGGCTCAAATAGCCGACCAATTAGCCTGTTACCAAGCCATAGTAAACTATTGGAAAAAATGGTGTTTGACCAGATACAATGCTATTTTACAGAAAAACATTTGACAACAAACTTTCAGCATGCTTATAGAAAAGGACATTCAACAAGCACAGCACTTACACAAATGACTGATGATTGGCTGAGAGAAATTGATGATAAAAAGATTGTAGGGGCTGTTTTGTTAGACTTCAGTGCAGCTTTTGACATTATCGATCATAGTCTGCTGCTGGAAAAACGTATGTGTTATGGCTTTACTCCACGTGTTATATTGTGGATACAATGTTACCTGTCTAACAGAACACAGAGGGTGTTCTTTAATGAAAGCCTCTCGAACATAATCCAGGTAGAATCAGGAATTCCCCAGGGCAGCTGTCTAGGCCCATTTTACTTTTTTCATTCTTTACTAATGACATGCCACTGGCTTTGAGTAAAGCCAGAGGGTCTATGTATGCGGATGACTCAACACTATACATGTCAGCTACTACAGCGACTGAAATGACTGCAACACTTAACAAAGAGTTGCAGTTAGTTTCAGAGTTGGTGGCAAGGAATAAGTTAGTCCTAAATATTTCTACAACTAAAAGCATTGTATTTGGGACAAATCATTGACTAAACCTCAACAAAATCTTGTAATAAATAATGTGGAAATTGAGCAAGTTGAGGTGACTAAACTGCTTGGATTAACCCTGGATTGTAAACTGTCATGGTCAAAACATATTGATACAACAGTACCTAAAATAGGGAGAATTACGTCCATAATAAAGCGCTGCTCTACCTTCTTAACAGCGCTATCAACAAGGCAGGTCCTACAGGCACTAGTTTTGTCACACCTGGACT